ATGTGTTTTTTAAACTTTAAACTGCATAAACACATTTCATTACACCACATACACAAAATAATGTTCTTTTTAGCAGCATCATATGACCCCTTTAAGTAAAGACCATGTTCCATGTAGATACTTTGTAAATGTCCTACTGTATGCTTTATTAATAAGGTATGTACTGAATTTAGTCATCCAGTTGTTTACATTAAGCGTTTTAGAATATCCCAAAACCGTGCCTTGATAAGCATGCACTAACTATTTCGTCCAAGTTCAAAACAAAACTCTATGAACCGCTCCATTGTGAACGTATGGAGCTGTATGAACCACTACAATCTGTAAAGTAAACAGGAAGTGTTTGTCCGAACTCAACTGGTTTTGCGAGAGAACGCAAATAGAATATCCCAAAACCGTGCCTTGATAAGCATGCACTAACTATTTCGTCCAAGTTCAAAACAAAACTCTATGAACCGCTCCATTGTGAACGTATGGAGCTGTATGAACCACTACAATCTGTAAAGTAAACAAGAAGTGTTTGTCCGAACTCAACTGGTTTTGCAAGAGAACGCAAAAGTTTTGCGAGGGAACGCAAAAGTTTTGCAAGAGAATGCAAATGTTTTGCGAGGGAACGCTAAAAATCTGAAAAATATTTTTTCCTCCCGCCCCAAATTTTTTCACATTTTTTTCCACCACCATGTCCCTTTAGGGGCTCCGTATATACCTAAGACAAGGATCCTTTAATAATCTATATTGGCGACCTATTACTTTGTTAACATTAGACTATAAAATATTAGCCTCTGTATATGCTAAAATATTAAGTTATGGTTTAGACAATATTATTTCAGAATCTCAATCTGGTTTCATGAAAGGCAGTCACATTTCTAACAACATAAGATTAGTACTGTTGGGGAAAGTTGCTTTTAAAAGTAATGCATTACAATATTGCGTTACTCCCTAAAAGTAACTAATTACGTTACTTAGTTACTTTTTATGGAAATTAATGTTATATTACTTTCACGTTACTTTTTAAATATGAGCAGGGCTTGATTGTTTTTAATATAAGAAGTTCTATTTATAGCAAATATAAAAGCCCTTTCACACCAAAAAGTGTAATGAATAAACCTCAGGCTGAAGCAAAAGTAAATTCACGTCTGTACAGTAGAACGCAGGAGAAGAAACACTCTTCAGCAATAAAACAACAAAGCACAATTGTTAGTTTCTCTAAAGTCATTTTTGCTTATTAGTATGGTTGAACTGGATCATCAAAGGTCAGCAGCAAAGATATTGGTTAATAAAATGGGATTAGATACATTTGTGTTATTTAACATATTTAATTATTGCAGGTTTGCGTCATATTCTGAGTTTGCATTTCACTGTTTTAATTCATTTTGATGAATACTAAATCTGTTTTTTGTGAGTGGGATGAATTAATGCACATTCACATTTAGTCTAGAACTACAGTAACATCATGTTCACACAGCGCACACAACGCCTCTGTACTTCCGATTTCTCCCAATATGGGGACAGGAGACTTGTCAGTCAATAAATGGGAAAACAAAGTAACTGGCATTACTTTTTTGAAAAAGTAATGCGTTACTTTACTAGTTACTTGAAAAAAAGTAATCTGATTACGTAACTCGCGTTACTTGTAATGCGTTACCCCCAACACTGAAGATTAGTACTGGACTTGCTGGATTATTCAGATCTAATTTATTCAGATGGTCTCATACTCTTTCTTGACTTTCATAAAGCTTTTGACTCCATTGAACACACATTTATTTTTCATACTCTAGAATTATTTGGATTTGGTAAAGCATTTATAGAGACTGTAACCATGTTTTATAGAGGTATTAACAGCTCAGTGATCGTGAACTTTGACACTTCTAAGAGGTTTAACATATATCGTGGTGTCAGACAGGGCTGTCCAATCTCCCCATTTTTATTTATTTTAGCCACAGAGTTACTCTGTCTAAGAATTGACCAAGATGAAAATTTGAAAGGAATTTCAATATTTGACAGGGAGATCAAAATGGCACAGCTAGCAGATGACACTACGCCAAAACGACAAAAATCAGTTACCAAAAGCTCTGGAATTGGTTGAACAATTTTCATGTGCCTCAGGTCTAAAACTTAATGTCAATTCATGATATGGATGATATATTCTTAGGAGGTATCCTAGTTAAAATAAAGTGTAAAATATTTAGGAATTCATATTACTAAAAATTCAATCAGTAGACATCATTTAAACTTTTTTGATAAAATGATAAAAACGAAACAGATCTTTAACATCTGGCTTCAGAGACATCTTTCATTATACGGTAGAGTTCTTTTATCTAAAGTTGAAGGGCTCTCTCTCACTTTATATATTCTGCTCTTTCTTTGTTTGTCAACGATAAAAGCTATAAAAAAAATTAATAAAATATTTTTGGAGTTTATTTTGAAAAATAGACAGTACAAATTAAAAAGAGATGTGCTTGCTAACTCCAGAAGCGAAGGTTGCCTTGATTTTTTGGACTTCGCAGATATACTGTAAACACCTTTAAAGTAAACTGTCACTGACCAACTTGGTGGCCTGTCTTTCTTACTAAAATGTAATTTCTTGCCTGGCAACTTACCTATTTCCTTATCTAGCTTCCATCAGCAATGTCTTCTTTCATGGAAATTGTGTTTTGTCCATGGTTTCTCCCCCCACAAAGTTCTCCTTTGGAATAATGCTGATATAACTGTTAGACATAAGTCTCTTTTTTCCCCTAGATGGTTTAATAATGACTTAAACTATTATATCTGTGGTTGATGATTCTGGTAATATTTTAACTTACAAACAATTTATGAATCTCCATAATTTTCCAGTCCCACCAAAGGAATATAAAACTTTGATGAGAGCCATCCCAGTAGGCTTAACTCAGTTAATTAAAAGTTACCTTAAATTCAGTAAAGGCAACAGTGTTTATCCGGCTTTATGTTTGGGTGGTATCTGTATTTTAGATCGGAAATGCAATAACAGACATATCCACAAAATATTTCAGACAAAGAGAAAGATTACTCCAAGAGGGAAATTCTATTGGGGTTCCTTTATAACAAATATAAATTGGAAAAAGGCCTGGCTTTTGCCAAGTAAATTTTGCATTTCTAACAAGGTTAAAATTGGAGAAAGGCCTGGCTTTTGCCAAGTAAATTTTGCATTTCTAACAAGGTTAAGGAGATCATTATGAAATCCTTCATAAAATTTATCCCGTTAATTTGTCTATTTCTAAATATTCTGATGTTGATGAGTCTTGCTCGTTTTGTGGTTTTGTTGAGGAAACCGCTCCCCATTTGTTTTTTGATTGTGGTGTTACCAACAAATTATGGGTTGACTTAAGCTCTTATGTTTCTAACCAAATGTGACCCATACCTTCGTCCTCAAAGATGTTATTTTTTATTACGAAAATCCAAAGCTATTACCTGCTGAATATGTTGTTAATTTTCTTATATTGAATGTAAAATTCTACATTCATAAGCAAAAATGGCTTAAATCTCCTGTCTTTCCCCCTTTTTCTTGTTGAACTGGACTCTCTTGTTTAATCTCTTAGACTTACAAATAACAAAAAGAGTGCCAAATTTTTGATGTATTATGACAACTTTTCTAAAAGAATGTAAGTTTATTTTTTCACTTTTACGTATTGATAATATTATAATTTGACATATGCAAATCCAGAATATTTGTTTTCTTTTCATATTTTTATGATTGCTTTTTGTTGGAATATATTTATGTCTCGCTTCCTTGTTTCTGTATGTTTCTACAAGTTTTGTAATAAAAAACAAAAAAACAAATCGGACTCCCTTAAATAAAGCAAAGGAATAGGGGAACACACAAGCTGGGTTTTTTTGGCATGGGAGCTGAACACGCAGCAGCCAGAAATACAGCTTGGGTGAACCCGAAATAAAATTAACAGTAAAATAAAATAAAATATTAATAGAGACGAGACTATCATCCATGTATGAATGTAAACAGTTGGGGGCGGTATGTACCTATGGTGCCGAATACGCCAAAATTCCAAAGAAGAATCGGCATTCCTTTAGCAACTTCCCCTGAAAATTAGCTGGCAACACTGCGGACATCAGTAGTCTCGGTCCATTCACACAGAGAAATATCTAGAACGTGGAAAACATGGTGAAAAACACGTATTTTTTTACTTTGTTCACATCGTTTGCATTCTTCATGCACGGTAAGACGTTTTTGACAGTCTCTTTTCCTTTAACACAATTCAGACACTCACACTTCGCTCAAACCTGCCTAACCTGACGTGTTGGTTTCAGTTTTTCTGTCTCCCAGAGCATGGCTAAATTATTACTTTAAAAAAGCGTTGTCTGTGTCTGATTGAAAGTTGAAAAAATATATATATATTTACTATGTCTAGTGTGATAGCGACAGGAGAGTGGATTCGGCAAATGAAGGCATTGATATTGTTCGGTACTGCCTAACTTACTATTCGCAAGGAATAGTAGATAGTGCTGAAACTCTCTTCGCAACAATGCTAGTGTCTTGATATGCAACAAGTCAACAGGAAGTTGACTCTTCTATTAGCCCAAAACGCAAATAAGGGCATAAGACAAGTGGTGGTAATATTAATTGAAGAGGGTTTACTGAACAATCTCAGTTGCATGTTTCCTTCCTGGAACATTCTGACTTCGTCTGACCAGCACAAACTTAACAACTGTTGTTATACCAACTTTTACTTTACTTTACTTTACTTTTAGTCATTTAGCAGACGCTTTTATCCAAAGCGACTTACAAATAAGACAAAGTAATTAAAACTAAAAGCTAAAACTCTATAAATACTATATATATACACATTTAAGAAAATAAAATAAATTAAATAAAAATGACAAATGCATACAACAACATTTCAAAACTAAAACATTTAAATAAAAACAAAAAAATAAAGCTAAAAACAATTAAAACATACACAAATAAGAAAAAGTAATTAAAACGAAAAGCTAAAAGCTTTTAAGAAAATAAAAGAAAATGGAGTCGCATGGTAGAGTCGATGGTCTTTACACTCTTCGGTCTTCACATGAGGAGGCCGTCACGCGACCGCTTCCGCGGTAAACGAAGCTTTTTTTAAATTCATTGAACAAAACTCAAATTGAATTCAGCTGGACACACTTTCCTCTTTATCACAACAAATGGCCAAGCAAAGCGCACGACACTAACAAGGTACGCGATACAGTACGAGACCAAACGCGACTTTAGCACGTCTCCTAAACAAACAAAAAAAACTGCTTCACAACATTCAATGAAACACTGAAATGGAGATGTTTCCTTTTCTAATTTGTACAGACCTTACAATAATAAGAATAAGCTGTAATATCATTGCAAATGCATGGAGTAAAATAAATAATAAATCAATAAATGGTAATACAAGAAATTATACTAAAATATTTGCCCTCTTGAAGCTATATACAGGTTGCTGTCGAAATTAAATTAATAATATATATTTTTTTAGCTCTATTATAGGGTGGAAATGACAATAAATTAATTTTACACCACTTTGAGGGTTGATTATTAATCAGAGGTCAATGAAAGTACTTGGTTGTATCATATAAATGTAAATATGCAATATATGAATCGGGATGTGAGTTAAGTACAGTGCATCAGATATGTTGGTGTTTGTTTGAATATATCATGTATATTTAGATTTTTTTTCTACCTACAATGATCCTAAGGAAAAAATAATAATTCACACCACATTTGTTAGTCTTGTAATTTACGGTTTATTTCGTCTTCAGGTGGGTTTGGTGTTGGTTCAGATGGAGTGTCAGTGTCAGTGATGGAGGGAGATTCAGTCACTCTACAAACTGATGTTGAAACAAATGAACAAGAAAAGATTGTATGGTATTTTAATGACTTTCGCATCGCTCAAACCAGTGGAGATCTCAGTAAGATCTGTACAGATGTTCAGTGTACTGAGAGATTCAGAGACAGACTGAAGCTGGATCATCAAACTGGATCTCTGACCATCACAAACACCAGAACCACAGACTCTGGAGAATATAAACTAGAGATCATCAGCCACAACAGCGCCAGTGAAAAGAGCTTCAGTGTTACTGTTAGTGGTGAGTCATTAATGAATGTTTAAAAGCAGGTTATATGTGTTTAAATCACATCATTAATGTGTTTCTATAACAGTGGCATTCAGAGATTTTTATGTTTACAAATACTGTCATTAAGCAGAACAAAATTATTTTATACTTAATTGTCTGTCTATTGATGAGCTATTAGTTTTCCCAGTTAGTCTTGTTTTGGTCATGATGATTTAGTCAATCTCAGTCTTCTCATCTCTGATCACTTTTATCATCATCCATTTAAGATAGTGTGTGTCTATATTATTCTAAAAATGTTTAGCAATATTAAAAAGCAGTAGTTTATTTTTAATGTACTGTAGTAGTTTATTAGTGTATATAATACATGTACATTTATAATACATGAGCAGAATAGTAACCTTTAATCCAGCAGTTGAGATATACAGTGGGTACGGAAAGTATTCAGACCCCCTTAAATTTTTCACTCTTTGTTATATTGCAGCCATTTGCTTTATGTATAAAGACAGATAAACATGTTTCTTTAAGCACAGTTCACTTTATATATAACAGTTAAATTTGTTTCCTCTGATTTTCACAGGTGTTTCTCCTGCTGAGCGAGATGAAATGAACCGAGAGACAGTTTTAGAAAGTAATTAAATATTAAAAAAATATTTCTTTAAAATATTTTATTAACATTCATTAATTTTTTTTGTTTTGTTTTCATTGTGGATTATTTGAAAAAGTGAGCCTTGTATGGATATTTTAATATTCACAAGCATTTTAATTTTAATAATGTATCGATGTTACAACAATTTTGAGTTATTGTCCTAAAAAAATCATAAAATCTTAAAGATGTAAAGTTATGTAGTGAATATTAATTTAGTTATGTTCTTATTCAACTTAATAATACTAATAGTTTCAGTTGTCTGATTTCTAACATAGAAAAGTTCTGTAAAAGTCAAATTTGGTCAAAAAAGCGTAAAAACCCTGAATTTTTGAACAATCATGTTGAGTATTTCCTTCATGGTGAACATTTATGTATCGTGATGTTTTACTTGTTTGAATCTGCTGATGATTTGTCACAGAACAGACAAATGTTTGTCTCTTTCTATTCTCTATAGCTTTGGAAACTCTACATCCAGGTCAAATAGCAGGACCTGTTATAGCTGTTCTGCTTCTGGCTGCAGCTGTAGTTGCTGGTGTGTTTTTCCACCGCCACAAGACCTCTGAACAAGACAGACAAAAGGGTAAGTATTACAGATGATAATGCATGAGAAAATAATGCGCTTTATTCTGCTACAGTAATGTTTAATGAGTAAAAATATTTGTTCAGGTTTCATGACCCTTTAGAATTCAAGTGAAGGTGTATGTAGCGAATCAGCTCATGGGGAAATATGAATAATTAATCATAACTAGTTATAATTAATTATAAATATTTCTTAGTAAAATATTTGCAAAAGGAATGTTTACAAATCTAAAATTGATAATTACTACTACAGTAGATCAAAAGATATAAACAAATAAAACGTAACGGGAAGTATGATATGTGATCTAATCTCATATTCTGTATATTATATATGAATAAAACAACCTAACATAAAATTCAAAGATCAGTTAAATTTGAACAGGCTACTCATAAGAAGAGAGATGACAGCGTACAGAATGTAAAATAGCAGACTAGGAATATTCATGAAGTATTAAGTAATGAGTGATTTTATATTCTTTCTATGTGCTGCTGTGGCATGAAGTGAAGAAAGTGACAGTGCTGAAGGAAGGTTCCGCCATTCTACACACTAATATTAAAATACAGAAGGATGACGTGATACTGTGGACATTTGTTGATATGGCCAAAATCAAAAAAGGAGGGACCAAAAATATCTCCATATCTGATGGTCCTAATGAGAGATTCGGAGACAGACTGAAGGTGAATTATCAGACTGGATCTCTGACCATCACAAACACCACAACCACAGACTCTGGACTCTATAAACTACAGATCATCAGAAATGGGGAAAAAATGTCAGTGGAAACATTCAGTGTTACTGTCTTTGGTGAGTAACACAGATCATTCAAAGAAATAATGATAATTATTTCAGATCAACAATGTCAATCATTTTTGATTAGTTTGTAATCATGATTTTAAATGATTAGTCTCAGAGGTGATTGGTTTTTCATTCAATTTGTTCATTTAAGTCTTCTCTCGGTTTCAGTTTTAAGGAGATTTGATGTCATGACAAATTTTTACATTTGCATTGTCCAAAGCACTTGCAGCATTGTGTACAATTAAAACAGGCTGAAAATAGTTCAAAGCAACAAATTAAAAACAAATAATATAATGAAACTAAAAGTAAATATAAAAGTAATTCTAATAATGTGATAAGAGAGCAATAATAAACATGTTGGAGACTCGTCACTTATTAAATATGTTTACATGCACCAGTTTTCATCAGTCACGAATCACGATGAATCCAATCAGATTTCAGATTCTGAAAGTTTTAATGACATCAACCCTAAACTTTGCAATCTGGGATATATATTTGTTTACTAAACAAAATTTCAGCACATACATGATGCAGCAGTCAACACATACAGAACCGGAGAAAACCACTGGAGGTCACAAGTCACTGGAGTTGCCATTTTTGCCTTGATGACATATCCAAAAAATATGCCAGAAAACGTTTTTAACAAATATGTAGCAAATATTCAGTATATCCTCCAATAATTGGCTAATTCTACCCTGCATGCATTATTTGTTGTGTGCTGTGCTGATATACTTTTGCACTTACTGATTTGAATTTGACCTTGATGATAGTCAAGATGAGGAATGTTGTTATTTATATTTTACAGTTTACTCTGAGCAAATTTACTTCTTTGTGTGTCCAACAAGGACATGTCTGGAAATAGCATGTCTGTATAAAACATGTCTTTGTTTTCTCTCTCTTTCACACACAGTCTTTGTTTAATTTGAGAGTTCTGGGTTGCAGACATGCCATGATGCTGTAAAACAATCAGTACAGTTTGAAAGACGTTATCTAATATGTTCCTAACAAGTTTTCTCACAGAACAACTTTTAAACAAACTGATGTAATTTAATTCCAGTAATTGATATTGTCTGATATATATGAAGTAATTTACTATATATCAGTCAAAAACTTTTATCATTTTTTACAGTGTTCTTTCATAAAACACGATTAAGGATGTGTGACTTGTAGATAGCTACATATAGATTTATGAAATGAGATGTTGCGTTCATTTTAACTGAAGTTTATAATGCAGGTGTGGAGCAAATGATTAGTATTGCTTTTGTTCATTTTTGCTATTGCTGGTTTTCTTGTTCTCATTCTAAATTCTATATTTCTGTGCTGCTTTGACAGATGAAATACAGTCAGTGGGAGTGAGGAAAGGAGATCCTTTGACTCTGGACACTGATGCTGAAATACAAAGAGATGATGATAAAATACAGTGGCTGTTTGGAGATGAAGACACTCTCATAGCTAAAAACAAAAAAGGGACAGGAGAGATCGCATATGATGATGGTGCTGATGGAAGATTCAGAAACCGACTGCAGCTGGATCATCAGACTGGATCTCTGACCATCACAAACACCAGAACCACTGACTCTGGAGTTTATAAACTAAAGATGGTCAGAAGTGGAAATGTCTCATTTAAGTTATTCAGTGTTACTGTCTCTGGTGAGCAACTCAAACCATACAGTTTAATAATGGACGTTTAAATGAGCATTGTGTCAGTCATGTAGATGAAGGACTATGAGTTTGCATCAAAATCTCTCAAGGAAAGTCAGTCCTTTGCTCTGTGGCAATATTTGCAAAATGTGACACTAATCACTTCTAGAACATTCTAGAAACGTACGAGTTTGCATTTCAGTGAAGGGATGGATTTTGGAATCCACCGCCACTTCAGTATATATCCTTTTGTGTGGTTTATTAAAGGGGTCATATGAAGTTGCTAAAAATAACAATTTGTTGTATATTTGGTGTAATGCAATGTGTTTATGCGGTTTAAGGTTCAAAAAACACATTATTTTCCACATACTTTACATTATTGTTGCTCCTCTGCCCCACCTTTCTGAAACGCGTCGATTTATACAAAGCTCATCGTTCTGAAAAGCGAGGTGTACGCTTATTGGCCAGCTGTCCAGTGCGTTGTGATTGGCTGAATACCTCAAGCGTGTGACGGAAATGTTACGCCCCTTACCATATTGTGATGCCGTGTGTCCTGGCGCGACAAGACAAAATCAATAAAACCCATTATAAACGAGGCATTTGTTGCATCCAGTGGAGACATAATTACTGATTATAATGAC